GGAATTGATCTCTTATAAGATGGGTGCTATAATAAACAGTGATGAAGAAATTACATGGTTTTTTTCATGTGTAAAAAGAGTAATACTAACTATTTAACAGGATTGTTTGGAAATTTAATTTTTAAATGTATAGTACCTAGTAAAGCATTTAACAGCAACAATGGTGAGGGAAAAAAAAAGTACCTGCCATCAAGTTAATTCTGATTCATAGAAACCCTAAAGAGTTTTCACAGGCACACTTCTATTTTAGCCCTTAGGGTCATTAAGGAGACAGTAGTATAATTCCCGCATGTAATATGCCCATGCAAATGATGTACACATGTAGCTTGCATAGAAAACCAATATGCCAGGTCACATAGTGGAAAATAAACCTGTATAATACATCGTCTATACACAGAAATACAGCAACGGTTCTTGAGACTTCTGTATCCAAGTCCCACCTCTTCCACTAACTTGCTGTTTGACTTTAGGCAATTCTCTTTCCTCCTAAGTATATTCTAAAGGAACAAACACTAGCCATTGAGTTAATTCTGACTCATCTTGACGCTCTAGAAAAGAGTAGAATTGTGCCTTGGGGTTTCCAAGACTATCAATGTATATGAGAGTGAACAGCTTCATCTTTGTCCTGTACAGCAACTGATGGGTTTGAACCTCCAACCATTAAGCGAGCAAGCCCACTTACTCCACTACTCCTCCAGGGATTCTTAGAGTGTAAAGGCATATATATAGTCTTTACATCTCCCATAGGATTGCTAGTCTCTGTTTCTATCATGCACCCCAAAGGTCCAGCCAACCTGAATAAATGCTATTAACATAGCATATTTTATCGAACAGGATATTATTCTAAGACTTTCATGTATGCGCACATTAAATTCTCCCAACAGTTCTTTGATTAAGGATTTATCATTATTCCATCCCATAGAAAGGAAAGTAAGGTATTAAGAGATTATGCATCTGTGGGCGTTACATAATCTGTTGTCAACTTGAGACTTAAGAGTGAAGGGGTGGAGTTTAGCCTGTCAATCAGGTTGCAGCTTGATGACCTCATTTGGAGCCACTAAGGAGATAAATAGCTCACTGGAGGTGAGACACTCCCTCCCTCCCTGCAAGACATCCCTATTGACAAAACACATGGAGCTACACTAGAGCTGTGGAGCTGAAGGAGCCATGTGGACCCCTGCCAGTGCTGAGATGCGTCTACTGCCACTGGATCCACAAGACTTTCCACCTACTGGCCTGTGATCTTCCTGCATTCGGCATTATTGCATGTGTTTCATGAGTCTGAAGAGGAATTTATAGATTGGTATTGGACATATAGGCTAACATTGGACTTATGGACTTGATCTGGACTGGGATGTTTTCTCAATATTCAATTGCTCTTGTATATAAAGCTCTTTCTTATACATATAATGAGTGTCTATGAATTTGTTTCTCTAGTCAACCCAAACTAACACAGCATCTTTCCCAAATTCAAAGACTTTGTAAGCGGTAAAGCCAGGATTCCAAACAATATTGTAGACCCCACCTTTGAAGGCCCTGTACTCTACAGCTTTCCTAAAAGTCTTGGCTTCTCCACAGCTAATGGATGGGCTCCCTCGCAAAGTCACAGGCAATCCAGCAGGTCTCTTATTCATTGCATTTAGTCCCAGGGCCTGGAGCAGGCACGCAGGATGTGCTCGCCAGAGGACAGCTCATCAAAGGTCCAGAGCTACACTGATCCACTAGGTGCCTGGTGGGTAAAGCCCTGCTTTCCTCCTCATCGATCTCTGAAGTCCAAATGATCTGAGCTCCAATCCCACATCTGCCCTTTCCAGTTATTGGCTATTGACATTATGTAACATCTACAAGCATCCACTTCCCTGTCTGAAATAAAAAGTCTAAGTGTGAATATGAATACTAGCACCAAATACCACACAACTGTTTTCTGGAGACATTTGAAAAAAGGACCCGTGTTAGTTCCATTCCTAGAGTGAACTCCAAAGGAGTTTCTGGCCTAAGGAAGGCTCCTTCAACTTTCCCTCACATCGGGGGTTCTCTGCCCCCGGGTGTCTGTTATGTGTCCTGCCTAGATCAGCCTGGAAGAGCCCAGTAGCAAAGCTGCCTCCCCAATATGAGCAAACTCTGTATGTGCCCCGGTATCTAGAATCGGTGGACTTACCAATGGAGGCTGAGTCACACCTGCCTCGTCACCCTTGAGAAGCCTTGAGAAGGAGATGAGGGCAGCATTCCCCCACCCTCCCTGAGTTTTAACTCAAAATCCCATCCAAGGTTTGATGTCATCCTTTCCTTCTTTTAAGCTTTCTCTTTCATAAGCCACACCTTTCTGCGTAACATTAATTAAAAATAAGCATAACCTTTGAAGTCAATGGCCACCTTTTCCATTCTGTGTCCAATTCTCCTGTCTTCCTCTTTTCCCTTGCTTTGTGCTAAAGTCTCCTTTCTGGGTTACATCTTCTCGCTATGTGGTGTATTTGCAGGCATACAAAGAGATATCACTAAAGGAACACAATTATTCTGAGGTTTCATATTGCCAGAGACAAGGCGTGACCAGGTGCGGCTCTCAGTAGACAGGATCATCTCATAGCGGCTCTCACAATGGAAGCCAGGATATCGTTCGGGTCCACCTCCTTTTGAATGGGCTCTCAGATCTTTCTGGGTCTTAGATCTTCCCAGACTATTCTTTATCACAACGTAAAACTTCTTTAGCTAATATGAGAAAATTGCGTTTATACGCCAATGCTCCCAGCCCTCGTCAACCTCAAGCAGAAAAACTCAAAGGGGCACAGAACGCTGTCATTAGCAGAATAGGTTGCTTGCTTTCATTTGATACATTTCTTTTCCTCCTCCTTTGAACTCTTATTCCTTGAAGTCAATGAATGTTCAGTAATGATTGTCCCTTCGCTCACCATCCTTGTAACAAATTCAGTCACAGATGACCCCCATCTATCACAGCTGGAGTGGCTTGGGGAGGCTGGAGATGTGGGGGTAGGATAGAGGGAGTGAAGAAGGGGTTGACTGTCCATTCTGGATGCTTCATTTTAAAGAGAGCAGAGCACGGAGATCAATGGGGGATGAGAAACAATGACACCCTGAATGTTACAAGACTGAGTAGTTTGCAAAAGCAAACGAACACCAAACTCACTGCTAGTGAGTCCATTCTGACTCACAGAGACTCCACAGGACAAAATAGAGCTCCCCGCTTCGAGTTTCTAAGACTGTAACTACTCAGAGGCAGGGAAATTCATCTGTCTCCAGTGGAGTGGCTGGTGGTTTCGAACTACTAACCTCACTGTTAGCAGCCCAACATGCAACCCACTATGCTACCATGGCTCTGCAGTTTACAGTTTAAAAAACATCAACGTAACTAGGAAAATAATGTAAGAGAGAGGAGTCTTCCTGGGAGCATAATCAATGCTCAAAAGAACTTTTAAACTCAATGCCATAGAGGGACCCCATTGGACAGGGTAGAATTGCCCAAGTGGGTTTCAGAGACTGTAACTCATTACAGGAATAGAAAGCCTCATCTTCCTCTCTTGGAGCGCTGATGGTTTTGAACTGAGGACCTTGCGGTTAGCAGCCCAATGTGTAACCCACTGTGCTACCAGCATTCCTTCCATAGACTGGGTCAATTTCCCAATGAAATTCTCCTAGCCAGTCTGGCTGCATAAATTTGATTATACAGGTGAGGTTGGCTCTTTATACAAGGAACCAAGTAATCTGTGGTGTTTCATCCCTGGCTTCTTTCACGTAGCGTAATACTTTTACGATTCATTCATGTTTGTAACATGTAGCAGTATTTAATTCCTTTCCATTGCCAAGTAATACTCCATTGTATTATATACCACATTGTTTATCCCTTCATCAGTTGATGGCATGTATGCTGTTTCTAGTTTGGGGCTATTTTAAATAAAACCGTATGTACATGAATGTACGAGTTTTGTGGGGGGCCTGCATTTTCATTTTTCTGGAGGATATCCCTTGAGGAGAATGGGTCAGATGGTAATTCTAACATTTTGCAGGCTTGACAAATAGTCTTACAAAGTGCATCATTTACCCACTAGCAATATAGGATTGTTCCAGTTTCTCCACCTCCTTACCAGTACTGCTATTGTCTTTTCTTTCTTTTATCCATCCTAATCAGTATGAAGGGGCTCTCTGTGGTGTCTCAATGGTTAAGCACTCTGGTGCTAACCCACAAGTTGGCAGTTTGGACCACCAGCCACTCCACAGAAGAAACATGGTACAGTCCGTTCCCATAAATACAACCACCTTGGGAACCCTACGAGTGGTTCCACTCTGCTCGGTAAAGTCATCGTGAGCCTGAATTGACCCGGTGGTAAAGGGTGTGGGTGAGTCCATGTGAAATAGTATCTCATTGAGATTTTGATGCACGTTTCCCAGATGGTTGATGATCCTGAGTATTGTTCTGATATTAATCTCTGATCTGATACAAACTTTGTCATTTCTTTGCCCTTCTATTTTAAACGTTCACTTTCTTTCTATTTTCTTGATGTCCCTTTTTCATCGGGATGAAGTCTAACTAACATATCCTTTATGGTTCTCACTCACGCTTTCAGTGTTGTGCGTAAGAAATCGCTGCCAACCCCAGGTCAGGAAGAACCTTTGCTCCCTTCAAAGGGTTTCCTAGTTTTCGCTCTATGATCCATTTTCCGTTCATATTTGTGTGTGTTGTGAGGTAGGGTTCCAACTTCATTCTGTTGCATGTGGCTATTCAGTGAGAGCTCTGGGGAGCTCCAAACCTACTCTCCTTCCGATGTCTATGAGGGAATCAGGACCACAAAAGATCTGAGCTGCCACCAACATGCCTTCAAGTACGCTTTTGAAGAAGCACCCTCCACTGTAACCCAAGTCCAGTCACTTGGGTGTGAACAGGAGGTTGCACGGGGGTAAAGAAGCTGATATTCTGGTGACTTGTGAAATCCTTTGGAAAGTCATGATTTCTTTCCCAATAAATCACTCATAAACTGACTGATGGATGCACCCAGGGAAACGAGCCAGCTCTATTTTGTTTTAAGAGAGAAGTTTTGTGCCATATTACATTGGAAAGCAAGAATATCATCTAAGGCAGAATTGAATTTTGAAAAGATTCAAGACACGGTTTGTACAACTTCATGTAAGAAAGAAAACTTCTTTCCCTCCAATAGATTCTGCCCCACTAGGAAATTCTTTTTAAGCATAAGACCTTTGAGAGAGAAAAAAAGAGAAAACCCAACTTTTACAAAATGAGAGAGAAAGGCAGTGAAAACACACTGTGGTTTCAAAGTACAAAAAGGAGGCAAGATACAGTAGGAGTGGAGAAAGCCGCATGAAGGTCGCTCGCCCCTGACAGCCCGTCAGATTAGCCATGATGCCATTCAACGTCTGCTGCGAAAGAGCCACAGAAGTCCAGCAGCAAGCACATACCCAACTCCCAAGGACAGCAGACCGACGATGTTTCTATACTACTTGGCCCTCTGCCATCCCATGTGAAAATAAATTAAATATAAATTAAAAGGTGAGAGCCGCTTTACAGGGGTCTCCTGGGAGGAGGCGTGATTCCTGGGCTGCCGGATGCGCCTCATCTCCCTACACGAAGCTCTCCTCCATGTTGCTGCAGAGTAAGAAGGAGTCCACGAGCCGGGGCTGCACCAGCTGCTGCAAGTCCGCATCCTGGAGGCCCTCGGGGCAGACACTGGCCAGTCTGCGCAGCGCAGCCTGCGGAGAGAGTAGAAAGCACAGTGCAGATCAGCCTGGCTCTGCTCAGGGGCAAGCCTTTCCTTCAACTATCCGGAAGCGTGCAGTTCAGGAGGGGCACATCTACCAGCTAAACTGAGCTGCTCGTCATATGGGGCGTTTGGCCCCTAATGATCTTTGGGCTGCCTGGTCACCAGCGTGCCTGCATCACTTGGTGGCCTGAGTATGCATGCATCCTGGACGCCATCACCTCTTAATGAGCGTAACTGTGGTCTCCTCGTCTTCCTTTTTCAGATCTTGTAGGGATCCGGTCCTTTTGAAAATCTCTCATTTGAAGGATCAGTTCAACTCATTGTTGTTCGGTGCTGTTGAGTGTGTCCAAACTCAGAGCAACCCCCTGTCCAGCAAAACAAAACGTGGCCCAGACCCACGCCATCGTCACTTACTTTGAACTCACTGTTGCAGCTACTGGGTGGCTCCATCTCAGGGGCATGTTGAACTCCAGGATTTGTTCAGATGTAACGTCCAGGAGCATCAGTGAAATGATATGTTTGGCTCTGGGGGCCCTAAAGCAGCCTGAGCACATCAGAGGCTATTCCTTGATCCATTCATTTGGCAAGGTCCCGAGCAAGGCACGGTGGGATGGAAAGGAGGGAGGAGAGAGTGGCCGTGTTCCAGAAATCTCTCTGATTCCTCTTGATTGTGAGTGAGCGGGAAGTAGGCAGGACTCACCCAGCAGAAGAGGCCACATGGCCATAGATCTCTCCCGCATCATCAGGAGCGAAAACAAAGCCAGGGGAAGGGAAGACAAAGGGAGACGCAGAACCGGAGTTGATGGAAAGACTGACTCATCAAGAGGGAACCTGCAGTAGGACGAGTGCAGCAGGGTATCGAGAGAGCGAGTGAGACAACAGAGACGGAACAAGAAAGAGAGGGGACATTCAAGCGGAGGCAGGGATGAACTCAGGGAAGGAAAACGGGTAGAACCTGAAAGCGAGATGGAGCTGGAAAGAGGAAACGTGCCAGAGAGGCATGGGGGTAGGAGGAAGCCGGAAAGAGGGCCAAGGAGGAGAGGAGGCAGAGGAGGAGGAAGGAGAGCCGGAAAGAGGGGAGGGAAGAGTATGTGGGGAGAAAGGGAAAGAAGGGGAGAGCAAATCCCCCTAAAGAAGGAGCCAATCTCTGACAAGGAAAGAAAAGCAAAAACAATACACACACAGAGGAAGGATTAGGAGCAGGCTGGTACTCACTGAAAGATAAATTAACACTCTCATCTCCCCAAAGATCTCAGAAGGTCTGCAGCACAAGCCCACAGCCTGCTCAGAACACCCCCTCCCTCAGGGCCCAGCAACCTCAAAGGACCCTCCCCCCTTCGGAGGCTTTTCTTCCAGGCCTGCCTTCCTGGGAGGGTTAACTGTCAGTCACCCCAAGAACTCCTCCCCTGACAGCCTGGCATGCCCACGTATTAAACAAGTGCAACCGCCCACGGACAGACGCTTCATTACGAAAAAAATCAATTCTGCTTGCGAGAGGTGATCTATACTGCTACTTCCCCAGACACAGGAGAGGCTAATTGACGTTTCCTCCCTCCACCAGAAGGAAGTCTTTGAAATTAGAAAGATCTTGGGCCAGGGCAAGAAAGGAAACCCCCAACCCCACCTGTCATGCCCAGCTCCCACTGGCCTCCTCTCCCAATTAGAGGGCCACGTTCAGATGTTGGATCCCAAGCACCAACACGCAGAAGTGGAGAGGTAACAAGCCTGTCAGTCCTTCAGTCACCAAACTCCAGGTCCTTTAATGATAAAAAGATCTAGAAAAAGGCCCCTGGCCCAGAAGATCTCAGGCAACCCCTAACTTATTGATGCCAGGTCCATTCTGACATCCAGTGACCCCTATCGGTAGGCTGGAACTGGAGTAGATCTGCCACATGGGGTTTGTCAAAGGCTGTGAATCTTTATGGAACCAGACTGCTACATCTCTCCCCGCCTAGAGAGACTGGGAGTTTGAATCACCGGCCTATGGGCTAGCAGGTGAGCACTTACCCCCTCACCTGCCAAGTGATCCAGAAGAGGGTCATCCCTTTTCCACTTGAAAAGTCCTTCAAGTGAATGAGGAGCTAGACAAGCCCTCCTGAGGGCTGCTTCTCCAGCCTGACAGTCACACTGACCACAGGCAGAGTAACAAGCCTTCCTATCTGCACAGAGCCTTAATGTGGACCGTGTGTTTCCAATGCTACCACCTTTTCCTCCGGACCCATCCAGAGTCCAGCAGTTAGCTTCTGTGGTGAGGCTCCAAGTGTTTGGGACCCGTTAGGCCATGCTTGCCAGTTATTACTCTTTCCCTGTTTCAAGCATCAGAATAAGCATAAATAGAGGATTTGAAAACATGGATGAGGAAAAAAAAAAAGTCGTTTTGATTTTTCACTAACCTCTAACTGAAAGTTAGCTTCGGTTCTGACTATAGCACCAAGCCTTGCAGTCTTGGAGCTCTCTGGCTAATTCACCGATCCTGGGAAGGCCAGGCCTATTGGGATGTGCAGATACGTTCATGTCCCATTACAGCTGTTGCGATTCCCATTGCTCTTACTCTCATCACTACTCCAGGGTAACAGGAGCCATTAGACCCATTGCTCGCTGCTGCCAGGGCCTGAGGAGCTGGCCCCGGCTCCTGGTGATCTTAGGAAGGAGGGAAGCAACAACATGTTGCCGAGACTTGCCCATCTCCAAGATCTTTGAGACATGTGAACCCATTGCTGTGTCCTCTGAGTTCAAATAAATGATCTGACACTGTCTTCTGGAAGTTCAATGGTCCTGGTTATACAATGACTTTCCTACTATTTTTGGCGTTTCTAACTGGAAGCTGGGATTCATTGTAGCTGCAGTCGGGAGGAGAGTCTAAGACAGAGAATTAATTCCCCAGCCCATGGTGTCCGCTATCTCCTGGAGGGCCCATGCGTCAAGGGACTGTTGAGTGGGGAACTTCCCGGGGTACTTTTCTTGAGTTCCATGTAGAAATCTTGGTGGCTGGCTAGAGAATCTTCTCTATCCTGTCATGTTCCCTAAAGGCTCTGTCTCACAAGGTACTAGGGGCCCACAGTGGGGTAAGAGCGCAGCGGGCGGGTATCAGTCCAAAGGGAAAGGGAAGCATTGTGTCCACTTTGGGTCAAGCAAAAGACATCCATACCCCAGCCCCACGTGCTGCAGGCCCTGAGGTTGGAGATTCTCTAGAATTCGATGGTCCACAGTTACTAACATGGAAAGTGCCTCACCTTATCTTTAACCTATAACTTTCCCCATCACTGAAGGAATCAAATATCACCATTATCTCCATTTTAAAGGCACGTAAAGCTGAATTCCAACAAAACTCCTGGCTTAACGGCAGGGAAGATTGAGAACTCACCAGGCAGGCCACCAGCACGGGGTCACTGCTGTTCCTTTCTGACGGGGACCTGCAGAGCTCGATGAGGCGGGACATACCTGCATGGGACAGGAGGAAACCTTATACTCAGGACTGCGAGCACCTGGCGGGGCATGCCTCAGAGGGGTTGGTCCTCTCTCCTGCACCAGGTTCTATAAGGCAGGCAGCTCACCCATCTGCCGGGGAAGGGAGCTAAATCCACTGAGAGGAGTTTGTGACGGAGATGTTTGGCTCCCTCAGTTATGAACAGACTCTGGGTCAAGACCAGGATGAGCTAAAACATCCAAAGCAAACCTCAGAAGACTTGCTCAGACTGAACCTGTAGCACTAAGTCCTTCCAGGTCTCTCTGTGGACTGACCTCTGACTAGGTATTTCTGGTTTTACCAGAGCTGTGCTCAGTGATCACATCTTTATCAGTGGACCATTCCTGCTATACTTTTCCATGTATGCGATACCATGTATACAATACAAGGTATATGATACCATGTAAACCATACTATGTATGTGATACGATACTATGCTTTTTTTCAATTGCTTATTTTAGCTAGAAAATGTATTATAGAAAATATATAGAGAAACTACAGACTGAGCCTGGTGGCATGGTGGCTTACCCGGTAGACTACTAACCACAGGCCTACAATTTGAAACCACCAGCCACCCGGCAAGAGAAAGGTGAAACATCTGCTCACATACAGATGTACAGCCCCCCAGCCTCAAGGGGCCCTTCCACTCGGCCCTACAGGGTGGCTGTGGGGCAGAATTGTCTGCACAGCCATGAGAAGGCTTCCAGGGGAAAGTTCACAAAATGAAACCACTTTTCCATATAAAATGACTTTTTATCAAGCCCTGTCAAAACATATTATGAAATAGCAAAAGATACACAAACAAGGAAATTCCTACCACCCAGCCATCCTACCAAGACGACAGGCCCATTCTGATCCTGTTCAGCTCACGCTTTAAGGTCAACACCTGTGGGAGGCAGACTGAGGTCTGACGGAGATGCTTCCAGGAAGGGCCCTGTCTCCGCTCAATGATAAGACCCAAGATTGTCGGGAAAAGAGATGTTTACCGAAAAATTATCCTCCTACGCGTACCCCCGACCCATCTGGGTAAAAGTTCCGGGAAAGAGAGTTTGGTGTGACGGAAGAGGAAGCTGGGGGTGCTGTGTGGGCACGTGACAGTACACTCGCAGTGGAAATTCTTTCACCTCGTGTTACATAGACACTTCGTATTTGGCCTCCAACTTAGCTCTGTAAGACTTAGTCCAGGGATCTGTATGTTCACGCTGTCAGTCAGTCCCTTGGGGCTTAGTGCTTCACTCTGTTCTTCTGTTTGTGTAGCTCAGCACAGTGCACTGCCAATACATGGGCATTGTACTCATTTAAAAAGACACCGCGGACCTTTCCCCTATGGGCACCCTCCGTACCATCTTGATGGAGCAACAGCCCTCTGCTGCCTCTAACTGTCACTCAGCATACCCAGGGGCTGTTTTTTCTCTAGCTTCTGCCTGGCGCATCTTCTCCCAATGTGCACACCTGGAGAACTCCCACTGACCCTGCAAGCCACAGCCTTCAGCTTTCTGAAAACATCCTTTGACCCCACTTCCCCTCGGTCAAAGCTAGGCTATTCCCTCTACCCTGCAAAGGGCCCTGCAACTCTGCATACGTGCTACATACTCAAGTGCAAATGTGTCTTTCCATCTCGGTCACTTTCCTTAGTCTGTGAGTCCCTGTGGCCAAGAACAGCACACTATTTGGCGCTCTCACCTATGCATGCAGAGCAGAGCTTAACAATTGAATGAGTACCCTGAACCTGTTAGACTATTTTGAAGGGCTGAATAAACGAATGAGTGAATAATCAACTTTATGAGTAAGTAGTGACTACATTCATTGATGAATACACTAATTAATGAATGAGCAAAGGGATGAGTAGAGAGTGGATGAACTCTCTGGGTAAAGGAATGAGCTGATGAATGAGAGATTGGGAGCCTAACTAAAGAAGTCCGCAGATGAGTCACTGTTTTAACCACCTTTAGCATCCTGTGGCCCTTCCTCTCTCTTTCTACAAGCTAGGCTTGAGGCTACACCTTGAATTTCTGCCCCAGACTGGCCTCAGCTGCATTTCCCAGCATCCAGAGCGTGGGGCTCACCCCAGCCAGCCCTTGCTGTGTGTCTCGTCCCACCCCAAAACTCCACCCTCCGCTCTAGCCACAACCTGCACCACTTACAGCTGAGCCGTACAGCCTCGTGCGCCACATCTGTGTCTCTGCTGAGACGGGCCAAGGTCACTGCTGCCTTCTGCTGGACTCGCTCACAGGCTGCCACCTCAGCGGGGTTTCCAGACCTTGGCTTCTCAGACAGCATGCCCAGGATAAGCTGGACCCCTGGGGAGGAGACAAGGAACAGTTGCCACCCATGTCCCAGCATGGGCCTTCCTTCGCGGGCCAGGTGTACAGATGGCTAGAGAGGAGAGTTCAAACGAAGACCATCAGGATGACTTAGGAGGTCTCAGCCACCGGAAGGAAGCTGAACGAGGCCACCGTTTATCCTCCTTCTGCCTGGGTGCATGTGACCGAGTGCATGCACCAAGTCACAACATGGGAAAGACACCTGGAAGACATGCCTGGAGCTGTGTCAACTACACACTCAGTGCCTGACACACACACACACACTGAAGCCTCCCAGTCACCCCGTGAAGTGGGTACAGAAAGGACTGATGTAGCTTGCCCAGGGTCATTCACGTAATAGTTGGGATAGCAAGTATGAGAATTCAGATGATCTGGTTCCTTCTCTTCCCTTTTCCACCACGGATTCTGTCTGCATCAGAAATATATCAAAGGGTGACCTCCCCTGACGGGAGGCTGCCCAAACCTAGGCGGTCTAATGGCTTGAGAAAACATGTTCAAGGGGCTTCAAACACTGGAAGTCGATCAAATAAATAGACTAAGAAATTTAAATCTGACCTTAGTCTGCTTAGAAGCCTCACCTACCTCCCCCAGAAACTAGATCTGTATTCTGATTGTTCTGGAAACCTACACCCAAGTCCATTCCCCACTCTGTGCTTATTCCCACCTAACTTTCTGCAAAGACTGCTTGCTGCGTCCTTTTCCTTCCAATTCCACATTCGAGGACTTCCCAGAACTCCGACTGCAGTAAACCTCCACATTCTACCTGAGCCACTCCTCAGCTTCCCCGGGCCCCACGCCCTTTTCGGCATCCACCGGATCTACCAGCACCTACCACTTTAGAATGAACTTCAGCCGAGACACAGCCCACAGGGACTTGCCTCTGTTTGGGTAGTTCACAGGGTCTATTGCATTTTTTGACTTCTAAAGTGTTACCTCTTGATCTAGCCATGCTGAGTCTGAGCTTATCATATATCCTTTCAGGTGAGTTTGATCCAGTCCCTATTAGTGTAACAAACTCATGCATCCTATAGACATGTAAATAAATTTACAGCCTGTGACCCGAATCATCCTGCCAGAGGGGCCCATAGAATTCATCTTGTCCAACCTCGCCCTCTCTCCTGTACCATCATGGAACATCTGAGGGTCTAAGAGAGGAAGTAATGCTCACATTCACAGAGGAGCTAGTTTCAACCCACCGTCTCAGCTCATGTGTCTCTCGTCAGTGCTTACGATTTTCTAGCTCTCCTGGATCCCCACGAACAGCGATTGTGGGTCACATCGCTATGGGTCCTCAGACTCTTCAGTCTTGGAGAGGATGCATCTCTCTCTCTTCCAGTTTCCCAGAGTGCTCCATGTCTCTTCTGACAGCCTCCAGGGACTCAGTCTCTCTTGGCTCCCTGTGAATTTGGCCACCATACCCTCTCATCTTGGGGCAAGATGCTTCTCCCCCAAACCTCCTGCTGACCACAGAATGGGACATGGTCCCCCAGCTCCATGACCATGATGGAGGTAAATCCTCCATCGGCCAATTCACAGCTGCCATGCCCTCCAGGGTACACTCTTGTGGCCTGGAGAGGCATGAATAGAGAGTGCCCAAGTCATAACTTGGGCAAATGTCACAATAAATTTTACTCATTCCTCTTGGTCCGGAGGATTCTCCAAATCCCAGACTGGGTCCTGGAGTCTGACAGGGAAGTGTGTCTCATGCATTAGCTGTCAGCTCCACATAGGGAGCCCATTGGTCTGTTTTCTGTATGGCTACATCCCAATACCCAGAACAAGGCTTATGACACAGTGAGTAACACACGCATAGGCACTGATGGAGACCAAATGAATGACTGTGGCTCGCATCCTGTGACTAGGCTTACAAACATATAAAAATGAAGTTTCCTTTACATGTATAGTTTATAAGACTCTAGAAAGAAGCTAAGATTTCTTCACCTCTAGGCTACCTAGGGAGACCCTAAGATCTGGTCAAGCTCAATGGGGGACTCTAGGAGTGACAGCTTCAAGACCAGCCTCCGATCCTGTACTTCTGCAAAATTCTCTACAGCTCAGCCTAGGCTGCTGAATAGAAGCCATGGGAGGAGCTGCATGCATCGGCCAACAGGGGCTCCCCACCACCACCACCACCACTGCTTCCCAGAGTGCTCAAGTCTAGGGGTCACAGCTTCCGGCTTCTCACCCACAACCTTCACCGTGCCCTGAGCAGGACACAAGCTAGTTCACAAGTCTTCCAGGACAAGGCACACCAGACAAGCATCCTGCTAAGAAAACTACCTTTCAAACTACCCAGCCTGTACCGCAGCACTCACCTCGGTCAAACCTGGCACTCTTGCAGTCTCCGTGGGCCCAGGCTGCAACTGTGGCCCTTTCCCAGCCTGCATCACTCCTTGTAAATTGCCCCTTCGTTAAACTGTCTTCAATGAACCCCGTGAGCCTGCCATTGCTGCTGGAAATCACTGATACTCTTTCTATAGATGCAGTCGATTCATCTTCCCAATCCTCTCTGCGTTACGCAGATCGGGAAACAAAGACCAAGACCGCTGGACTTAAGAGGCAGGATTTCAACCCAGACAGCCTGACTCCACTTCTCACTCGTACCCACTCTACCATCTACGCTCTATTGTGTTACTCGACTGCAGATGTCGCCTTTATCCTGTTGTCACCTTGGTGCGCAGGGCTCTTCTTCTAGCCTATGAGAATCCCTGGGACAGAGATAGGGACTCATTTGCCTGTGTGCACACGTGTTGTCTAGCTCCGTGCCAGGCACACAGTCGGTCTCAGTAACTGCTGACTGGGTGAGCTTGTAAACCACCAGCCTATTTCTAAATGCCAGATAGTCCCAACTCCAGTTCACAGACCCTCGGGACCTTGAGCTGACTGCTGACCACGGGAAGCTCAAGCTCTGTGGCTAGATGAACAGGCCACAAGCAATACCACTCAGCCTCTGGGTGTCAGCTGGTTCAGTAAAGGTTTGCATTATTAGCCCGTCCATATGAAATTAGCCAAAATTATGTCTTTCCATTTGTCATAGAATGGTGGGGTGTAGGGCATGCTAGTTGGGTCAGTGGAGCAGCCTGGAAGAGGGGGGTTTAACAAGAGCTGAGGCAGCTCACCCAGGCTCCCAGCCCATGCTGCCTCATTAGCGTCTCTGGTCTCCAACCGGTTGCTAATTGCTACCTCATTTCCCAGTCTCAGGAAGCCTTTACCTCTCTCTGATCCCACCTGCAAGGCCTCATTCTCCTGCAGAGACTGCTTTCATCAGCTTCCAGGCCAGTGAGACGTGGTCCCACCCCACCTGGACTTCGGTGACCCCTCCGCACCAGCAGGAGAAAAGATGCTCTCAGATGACTGGTCAGAGGGATTGGTCTGGCTCTGATCTTTGATTGCAAGTTAGAATGCGTCGTTGCATAGGAAGAGATTTTTTTATCTTTGAGAGCATAATGAAAATTCTCCTTCTTCATACCACCCTGGGCAAAATAGCAACCCCATTCCACCCTGGCACTACCCCCACACCCTTCCCTCTTGTTATTTCTCTCTGTGGCATTGTCACCACTTGACCCTCTCTCTCTCTATTTCCTCCACTAGAATGTAAGGCCCGTCATGGCAAGTACTCCCGCCTGTCTTGCTTAGTATTGTGTCCCCCAGTACTTGGTCTGTTGTGGGCTGGGCCATCTTTTCCATAAATATTCATGGAATACACAGGATGAAGGACTTCAGATTCCTGCTTGAGATATCATTGGCCGGTACCCCTGTTACTTGCAGTAGAAATTATCAAGAGAGATACTGAACCCCCACCCCCACCTTGAAGAGATGCTATACCTATCCCTAGATGGACTTTCAATATGTTCTACTTTTGGTAATCAAAGTTCTGCTAGAGATACTACTGGGTCATACAATTTTGCAATTAAAAAAGCCCACCTAACCCAATTACCCTGTAAATGCAGGGCCCCTTCTGGGAAAATTTCCAGTGATAGGGAGCTACCACCTTACAAGGGCACCCGCAAAGCAAGGTTCCCCATGTGGACACCACACCACTGACGTTCCTGACCCAAAGCAGGAGCCGACGTCAGTTCTCTTGCAATGTTTGTGGTCCTCGAGATCACCCTCCCTCCTCCTCTCGTAGATCCCCAAACCCACCCATGCTGTTGAGTCGATTCCAATGCAGCTGCTCCCGGGGACACACTAGAACTGTGCTCGTGGAGTCTCTGAGGCTGTAATTCTTGCTCAAGGACACTGTCTGTTGCATCTTTCTCCTGCAGAGCAGCTGGTGGGTTCAAACTGCCTATATGTTTGGTCGGTAGTCAAGTGCCTGCAACGCAGGTCACTGCCTGCTAAACTAGCATACATGTATGTACACACACACTTTCCCCCCTCCATCTTGAAACACCCTCTGTACCCCAGGGCTAGTGAGCTGCTGCCCTTTCACATCTCTAGACCTGGGCACACTCGGTTCCTTCACACTGACATGTTCTTCTACCTCCTCTGCCTGGGAAGTCCTGACAAATTCTCCCAGACCTGTCTCAAATGTCACCTGCTTCACAGTGCCTTCTCCACCTGCTACTCGTGTCTACAACACCCCTTACCTACTGTATCCCTACTGCTATCACAGAATTTACGTTGAGTGGCAGGGATGCTCTCTGGTACTCATTCACTCGCATGACTGTCTTCCCCACCTGCTGGTGTGCTTTTGGGGGGCAGGCATCACATTGTGTACAGAGTCACATCCTGAGAACCAAGTGGAGGGCCCAGCAGCGGCTATGCATTCAGAACTTGGTAAGAGAAGCGTCCACAGCCACGCACCCTGCACAAACTCACAGGGCACACAGGGAAACACACTCGTGTCCTCTAAAGTACATGTACAATGCAGGGGATGCAGACCTGGACATAAATATACACACAAGTATTTCCTGACCCAGTTGCTTACATAAGCACACACACCTGTCCTCACATATGTGCACAAACACAAAAGCACAAGGTCACGTGTGCATCTGCTGAAAAGACATACCATTCTCCTGAATGATGTCAGAGGCGCACTGCTCCAGGACAGACATGTTTGCCAAGATGGTCACAATCTGAGAGAGAGAATGGAGATGTTAAGAACCCAGTCAAAGGGTGAGCTGTGGGCTTCAAAGCTGTCTACTAGCCTATGACTCCATGGTGCCCACCTGGCCCAACCTTCCATGGCATTTTGTTCCATCCCCCTGGGCTCCTGCTACCCAGATTACCTGGCCCCAGTCACTGACCTCCATCCATCAGTATGATCCAGGTGTGGCAGGACCCCACAGGAAAGCAAATGTCAGCTTGGGTGATAATGTGCCCTAGCAATCTTTCTGCAGTAGTCCCAGATCCTGAAATGTGGTACTGGAAGATTGCTGGCCCCTCTTGCTCCTCTGTGCTTGCTAGTACTCTTGATGACTAGGCCCTGCTCTGGATTCGACTCCACATCCTGGCTTCTTATCCTGAGACCCAGTCTGTGGTAGTTACACAATCTAGTATAAAACTTTACATAAATGATTGTTGGGAAGTATGAAAAGAGAGTTTGTAAGCCTACTTGCCTTGAGCCATTAAAATCTGATCTTTACATTAGTCTAGGATGCATCTGCAAAGAAGGCTCTGAAAGGATAAATCCCACCCAGTTCTTTGAAGTGCTCAGGATATTTGCATTCCAAGAGACTTTTGCCTAAGGGGCCATTGTTGACAGATTGAATTTAAAAAGGGAACTCTTTGAATTTTGAACCAGTAGTTTTAGTCAGAAGCTGGAAAAAATCTGGAACCATGAAGAAAACTCCTCTCTAGGAGTTAAAGGGAGCCTGTGGGAAGGCTGAAATGCTTGCTAGGTGACCACTTGGATCCATTATTGAGTGGAAGTGGGAGAAAAGCAGCAACAGAGAGACAGGTTGAGTCTGGCCACTGACACCATGGACCTGGTTTACAAGGAACTAGAGGAGAAAGAGAGTGAGCGGGTTGACTAGTCTGAAGTTCATGACTGAGAACAAAGGGGCTAGGATTGCTGAGAATTTGTAACGAGCCCCTGGTCTAAAGGCAAGGCAGCCAATGGGCACCCTTATGAGGCTAAGTGAGGCAGTCCACATTGAGTTGACCAGAAGCTGACCAGATGAAAAGAAGATCTCTGAGCCTGTGAAATGGAGCATATTGCTGCTGGCTTTACGTATGGCCTGTCCTTATTTGACTGTGTTTATAGATGTGGACTTCACAAGGTTCCAGCTTGAATTAAGATTCTTCACATCAAAGAATATGATTGTCTCCTCAGAGCGCTGTGCTGATGTCAGTAGGCAATATAGACATTAGATGCCCCAAATGAGGAGGATAAAGGCACGGAGGGGTTGGCTTACCAATTTTCATCGGTGCTGGAAAATATTCATAGGATTATAGGATTAAGATATAGGTGTTCACATAAGTATAGATTATTTTTGTTTGTTCACTGATAGAATGTAATATTTAAATGAGGGTGGCACATTTTTTAATTGTATGCATTTTAGTTTTATCCTGTGAAGTACAGACATGATTTTATTGTTGTTTGTTTGAAATTATATGTGGCTAAAGAGTTATGTGAAAGTGTCAAATAGACAAGGGGTGGTCTGTGGTAGTTACATAATCTGGTGTCAATTTGAGGATTCAAAGTGAAGGGATGGAGTGTAGTCTATCAATCAGGATATAGAAAATGAGGCCTCTATGTGGGCATGGCCTTCTACTGAGGATTCTGGGAACTCCCGCATTCCTCCTTGGAGGGAGGAGGCACTCTCTCTCTTGGCTCACTCCCTATAAGACATCCCTTTGGAGAAGACACATGTAGAGAGGGTGTTGGAGCCAGATCTCTGGAGTAGGAGAAGCCACGTGGAGACCCCTGCCAGCACTGAGATACTTATAATGGCACTGGAGCCACAAGACTTCCCACCCACTGGCCTGTGATCTTCCTGCATTCGGTGTCTACTGCATGTGTTTCATGAGCCTGAAGAGGACTTTATAGATTAGTAACAGACATATGGCTAACATCGGACTTATAGACTTGACCTGGACTGGGCTGGGAGGGTTTCTCAAAATTCAACTGTTCTTGTATATAAAGCTCTTTCTTCTTCTTTTTTTTTTTAAAAGCATTTTATTCTGGACTCGTTCAACTCTTATCACAATTCATACATTCATCCATTGTGTCAAGCACATTTGTACATTTGTTGCCATCATCATTTTAATTGCCACTTCTCTAGACATAGCTGTTTCCGTTTTACAGTCTGTGTCAGGATCAGTGTGGTATGTAGTACCTGAGTCAATGAACACCCAGAGCAAACTCACTGCCATTGAGGTGATGCTGACTCATAGTGACCCTATAGAACAAGGTAGAACTGCCCCCCGTGAGTTTCCGAGGCTCTAACTAGTCTGGGTAGACTAGAGAAACGTGTATAAGAAAGCTTTACCTATCCGTAGGCAATTGAACATCTCCTTACAGGAGAGTTACAGCCTCGGAAAATCACAGGGGGCAGTTCTACCCTGCTCTATAGGGTAAGGTGACCCGATTTTAACATTGGTAAAGGGGGACACCATTGATAAAACTCATATCCTGGTGAAATAGCCACATGGCAGCCGAAAACCGTATACCCTAGCTTTTCATGCATTCTTTCCAAAAATCGGGACTTTTTAAAAATGCCATGGGACATGGGACAAATTGTTAAAAGGCGGGACTGTCCCACCAAAAGTAGGACATCTGGTCACCTTACTATCAGGTCACTATGAGTCGGCTTCACCTCGATGGCAGTGAGTTTGCGCTGGGTTTTTATTAACTCAGGAACCACGTACCACACTGATCCTGACACAGATTGTAAAATGGAAACAGCTACATCTAGAGAAGTGGCAATTAAAAATAAATTTAAAAACCCACTTCTATCAGGCCTATTTCTTTTGAAGGGTTTCCTGAAATTCTGTGGCATAATCTATCCAGAGGCCAGGCCTCAATCAACTAAGGACACTTCAATCAGCTACATTCTGATCTGAAACTGGGACACGCAGAGCAATGTGGTATTTACCAAGAAAGTGTATTATTGTCCACATCAGTTGTTACCCAAAGTGGATGATACTGCCCCCTGGGGGGCAGGGGCTGGAGTGATCCAGGGGGGACTGAAGAAGCAGTACATACCTACGCTTTATCCTGGATTACGGGATATAGTACAAAAAGTTTTAATTGTGGGGGGCAGAGGAGAGGGAGCCCTGAGTAATTTTTTTTTCCTTGAAAAGAGAGGCAGTGGGCCACATAAGTTTGGGAACCCATGCTTCTAGATGAGGCTTTCTACTCTTTTAAATGCTTACAGCCTCAGAAATACAGGGTCAGAATGGACTCATGGCAGTGGGTTTGGTTTTCTGTTTGGGGTGGGTCAAGGAAAGAGCCTGACTGGTGCTGTGGGGTAGGCGTTGGGCTGCAAACCGCAAGATGGATGGTTCAAACCCACCAGTTGCTCCTCCGAAGAAAGGTGAGGCTGTCTGCTCTCAGAAGGACTGGCAGTCTCAGAAGTGCTAAGGAGCAGTTCTCTGCCCTACAGGGTCGCCGTGGGTCCCAATGGACTTGCCGGCAGTGGCGTTGGGTTTTTGAGTGGGTCACTGCCAACTATGTGATTTTGTTCTGCAAAGATTAGACAGATAAGAAAGTGGGGGGTAAATGTCTTGGAATACATCTTAGACCGTGTTCATGTGTGACAGCAGGGAAGGTGCCATCATAGTATTCACGCAGTGTCATAACATGTGACGTAAGAGAGAATCCGCCTGGCTGGTCCTTTTAAGTTGATAGGATGGTAACACTTTCAGAAAGATGGGTGTCAGATGGTTGGAAAGGGTACCCTTTCAGCACTTGCCAGGGCGCTGTTTCTGGAGATATGCCTCTCTCTTTGTGTCAGACTAATTTAGATCCTGTTAATGAAAATTACTTCCTCTTTACAGAGCCCGTACCTCATGTGGTTTTCTGAGGTGCAGATGGTGTATTCAATTAAGCACAATTTGAATAAATGCCAATTATGCTTTGCTTTGAGTCCCCTTTGTGAAACATCCTGTATGCACCTCGAGTCGAGTGCAAGAAGGTCAATGTTGCTCCCAGCAGGCAAGCCCATGGCAGAGAGTCTAGGGCCAGGTTTGCCTGGTTGGATTTAAAACAATACAATTATGAAAAACAAACAGTGGTTGTGGTGGAGTGAAGTTTCTTAATACGGCTCTTCTACTCAATTTTCTGCTAGGAACCCTGGCTGCATAGTGGTAATGCACTGGGCTGCTAACTGCAAGGTCAGCGGTTTGAAACCACTAGCCTGCTAAGAGGGGGAAAGATGAGTCTTTGGGCTCCCATAAAGAAGTACACTCTCAGAAATGCCACTGTGGAGCTTCTACCCTGCCCGATAGAGGCTCAATGGCAAGGAGTCAAGACCCAAGTCTCTGTAAGTCCCACAAATGGGTAGAACTAGGTAAACAGAAAGATTCAATATGCAAACTATTGAATGATGCAGGAAGCATCAAGAGAAGATTAAAAGAACACACAGGGTCACTGTACCAAAAATAACTAGTCAACATTTCACCATTTCAAGAGGTAGCCAATGAGCAAGAGCCAACAGTGCTGAAGAAAGACGTTCAAATGTCACCGAAGGCATAATCCAAAAACAGGATTCCAGGAATTAACAGAATACCCACTGAAATGTCTCAGCAAGCTGCAGAATTGTAGAAGAGGTGAAGAAAAAAAAAACAAGGGAGGTGCTGTCAGCCATCCAAACTGATGAGTTTGAAAAATGTTTCCAAGAATGAAATTGCAGATTTGAAAAATGTATTAAGTATAATGGACATCAATCACTCGTCTATGCCAGGAAATTTGGAAGACAGCTACCTGGCCAACTGACTGGAAATTGATCCTTATTTGAACCCATGCCAAAGAAAAGTGACCCAACAAAATGCTCAAATTATAGGATGATATCCTTAAGATTGCACACAAGTAAAATTTTGCTTTAGGTCGTCCACAAAGGTTGCAGCAGTATATTGACAGAAAACTGCCAGAAGTTCTGGCCGGATTCAAAAGAGGACATGGAACAAGGGT